GGTGAGGAAGGGGGCGGGGCGGCCGTTAACGTCGCCGGGGGAGGGGCGGTAACGGCGGCCAACGGCCACGGGGTTAAAGCTGCCCGGCGAGGCCCGTCTCAGGGTGGCTCTCCGATCATTTCTTGGGCTCTGCTCCCTTCCTGAGAAAGGAAAAGGGATGCGGTGCGGCGAGGAGAGCCCTCTGCCTGCCGGCGGTCCCGGTTTCCCCGGCGCAACCTGCCCTGCATGAGACCCGCCGGGATAGCGACCCCTCGGTATCCCGGCCGGCTGCCAGCGGGTGGGAGAAGGCGTGGAGGTGGCCACCGTGCTCCACGATACCTCAGTCTCGTCATCCCCCCAACCACCTAATCCTGTGTGCTTAGGTGTCAGATCATAAACCCGGAAAAGCAAATAGGTATGCTTGGGCCGTACCACTCTGCATCCTAGATAACTCATGCTGCAGAAAACTCGGGCGGTCCTTTTAATGATGAGTTAGCCCCAGGGTCACAGTCCTCGCTGTTAAGGTCCCAGAAAAATTTGCATGAGAAGAACGATCAAAACTGCAGATTCCAGCTGTCAAATTTGTTGCAATTCATCACCAGTCAACAAGAATGTAAAACGTGACCCTCCCCTTGAAGCATGGCCTTTGAACCTGAAGGTTGATTGCATACATTTTTGGGAGATGGTTTTATGGGAGGGTGACTGTCTCTGTTGCCTTGAAATGCTGAATTTGTCTCAGACTGTAAGGAAAGGAGTGGGAAAATACTGTGCTTATTGCACCACTCTGGAATTTAGAACATCAGTAAACATTACTTTGTTTTGCAAACCAGAACAAAAAGTAGAGGAATAGAACTGTAGAACAAGAAGTAGAGAAATAGAAGTTCTTGATAGGACAGCTTCACTTCCTTGTAGAAAGGAGAGTGGTTAATAGTTTTGGTAAAGTGGAGAGCTGTCAAGACTCCATAAAGTTGTAATGGTTGTGAGGAAGGAAAAAGAAGAAAAACCCACAGTATTTACAATAAAGTTTTTGCAATGCTTGTATATTTTTCAACAGATTACAAATAGTTACCAACTGATTATTTCAGACATGCTATGAAATTTTCATGTGATCTTATTATTTAAATCTGTTGCTGGATTGAAAACAATACTCTGAAAAGAATTTGCGAGAGACTGAGATACGTGAGGAATTTTGCTATCAGGTGGGGGGCGTGCTGCCCTGCTACTGTGCTTTGTCTGCTCCCAGTGCATCAGGGGAGGGTGTGCGTGTGTGTCTCGAATATCTCATCCTGAGAACTTTGGGAGGCAATAAAGGAAATTTTAGATACTCCTTTTAAGATGTCCAGCATGTTCTCAAAACTCTAGGGAAGATGATACTTAGTCCTTTGGTGGCCATCAGGGGACACAGTTGGGGAATGTTGTTCCATTCTCTATCAGCAAGATAACAAATTCCTTCATCTAGAAACCTTTTCCCTTTTCACAGACTTTCATTTCTTTGGCTGCTTGTTTTTGCAAGTGCAGTGTCTTATTATTCCAATTGGGGACACATCAAGAAGGTGCTTTTTCACTGCTGCCTCAGTTATCAAATTAGTTTGAGATTGCAACTGAGAGTTGTTGAGACTACTATTGAGAGTTTAGTGCTTTAAAAACTGCTCTTCATGCAGAGGAACACATTAACAAAACTTATTTATAAGGTCAGGGTTTCATTTCTTTTCTACAATAGTGTTTTTATAACTTTGTCTAAACAATATAATCAAAATAGATTGTCTGCATGTTTTGCTACCCAAGGTTTTACTTGAGACTGCATCACTCTGTCTTGAGAGAGAGATGAATTAAGCAATTGTATATTTATTAGATTTCTGATAGAATTTAATATTTACTGTGCAGTAAGTTAGAAGACTCTTCTGGTGGTCTGTCTTCTTCCATTTCCTGCAAAAGCTTACAAAACATTTATTTTTCCTCCTTTGAGATATTTGGTGTTTTAGAAGTCTACATCTCTGATACTGTTTTTGTTCATCTTGGATATTAGAGAGGTGTGAGATCTGGAGCGTTTTATTTATTTATTTATTTATTTTTAAACAGATGCAAACTATATCTTAAGATTTTGTTTAAAAGGTGTAACAGTACTGAAAGGCAAGTCTTTGGCTTCCAAAGCCCCAGCTAGGAGTGTGTTAGCACATCTGTGTCTACCTAGTGACTGTCTCTAACAATTAGGATGTTTAGCTTTGGTGGTGAGTCAGTCAAAACACTGACTCATCTCAGAAGAGGGAAGCATTTGGGCACTAATGTGGGAACTGATCTGATACCTTCGTGGCATCTTTAATTTCAAAGGGCTCCAAGCTGAATCTGTTTTCTGCATAACTTCACTACGTTACTGCCAGAAGGCAGAATACTGTATCTGCTGGAAACTTCAGGGATTGTTTGGGAATGTAGCTTCAATAAAGACTCCTTTTGTCCACGCAAGATAGTGGCCAGCTAGTGGAAGGGTGATACCTCCTACCCCCAACCTATTTAAGTTGTCATAAGAACACGCTGGTAAATTTTGGACTGGAGTCTCAGTAGCCAGCTTCCCTGTCCATAGTCAGTCGAGTTGTGTTGTATTTTACTTGCAGCTTATCTAACGTGCTACTTCTTCTTCAACAGAGGAGAGAAAAAAACTAGTTCGAGAATTTGATGAGAAACAGCGTGAAGCAAATGAAACAGTAAGTTTAAGTCTAGATTTGTGGCCTCTGTGACTGGTTGAAACAGTGATGACTTAAAAAGGGCAATACTTACAAATTTTACCATCATCAGATACTTATGCTGGCAAGGAAATATTGGGGAATATTTTTCATCTGTTTCATCTGTTCGTCTGATCGATGTGTCCATTGGCCAGGACTCTGTGTGCATACGTATCCACACACACATATATGTATATCTGCACACACACGCACATGCACGTTTATTCGTTTATTTATTATGCTCAATTTGTGTACTGCTTTTCTCTGTTGAGTAAAGGAGAGTGATAGCAGTGCAGAGAGGATAGGGAGCACTACCAAAAGCAGGGAATGAATTTTTGTTCTGTCTTTTTTTCTGCTGCCTTTATTTTATGGCAGTCTTGACCCATCTTATCTTTCTGTAATTATGTGATGGTTAAATACATGGACCTTGTATATTTGAAGCTTCCATTGTATAAAGCAGTAGAAAGACACTGGCTTCACAGAGAGCAGAATGCAAAAATACACATGCCTTGTCTTTTTAGGTAAGATATTATGGGTTAAACTTCATTCATCGTTAATGAAATACTTGTTAGCAGCCTAACATACCTTTTAATTGGCGAGTATTGTGTTTTCTGTTTGTTTTATTACAGCAATTGCACCTTCTCATGGTGTGTAAGGGGTAGCAGTCATATGGGGGGAGAGCTATAAATCAGACTGCGGATGGTGCCAATAACATGGCAAATTGTGAGATATTGAAGGATGTGATGTTAAAACTTAGTATTTTTGAGATTTATTTTTAATATCAATAGAAAGTTGTACAAGAGACTGCAAATCTGACATAAATGTATCCACGTGGGCTGAGTAACATTAAGCAGAATGGAATACTTTATGGCAGGTAAGGGATATGTGGTTTGGGGTTGATTTTCCCCACCACCACCACCTCCAGGTCCTATAAAAATTCTCTCCTTCACCAGTGAGTTGCGAATATGGCTGTTGGTAAGAATAAATGTGGTACTTTAGAAAATGAACATGTGTTCTTTCATTACAGCTGCGGGAGATGGAAGAGGAACTGAAATACGCTCCTCTGCCTTTCCGCAACCAAATGATGAGCAAAATCCGGGCTTACAGAAGAGACCTCTCCATGTTCCAGAGAGAGATGAGAAGTACAGATTTGGGATTGGGCCCTGGAAGTCAAGGAGATACAAAATATGGAATCTTCTCCACAGAAAATGAACAGAGTGTGAGCATTAGATATAAATTGTATTTAAAGTTCTGGAATTGCTAGCAAAAAGAATTCCAGGTGTATTTTTTATAATGTTTCTACTTTAATTCACTTAGCTTCCGTGCTTGCAAAATTCCCTATATATCTCTCTGCATGTAAAATGAATATCTCAGAGAGAAGAAGTATCTAGAACTCATAAGAGAGCTTTTTTGTTCTAAAATAATGATTTACTGAAATAACATTATCACTCCTAGAGTATCATCTGGTTAATATTTTATAGGGCATATTACAAAAAAGAATATTAGAGGCTGCCTGCACATGCTGAAATGCTTTTATTTAATCATTCACTTGCAGCCCTAAATGCCCAGAAGTAATGCTGTGGCTGATTTTAATCTTAGTTTCTAAAATTAACCATGTGTGTGACTTGCATGCACCATATAGGTTCTCTGGTAGAATTCTCTTTTAAGCAATCGTAGTTTAAAACACTTAAAGACAATGAAGAAGCCATTTAGTATCACTTTGTTCATGGATATGCTACTACAGTGCAAGACATACAGCAGTTTCTTTGCTTACTGCCAGATTTGCTTATATGTGTCTGCGTTACCGAGACTGAATTTGCTTGCCATCTGCAAAGGGAAGTGCTGGGATCTATAAAGAAATTAGTGTAGATGGGGTTGCTTTATTTGTTGTCCTTAAATAAGGAAGCACTGGGGGGAGGATCTCTCATTAATGTCTCAGTCCACAGGAGTTAGGTAAATTTTTCCATTGAATTGCTCTTCTGTAGTATCTGAGAGGAGGATCACAGAATCATAGAATGCTTAATGTTGGAAGGGACCTCTAGAGATCATCTAGTCCAACTCCCCTGCACACGCAGGGTCACCTAGAGCACGTGGCACAGGACTCATCCAGGCGGGTTTGGAAGATCTCCAGAGGAGGAGACTGCACAACCTCTCTAAGCATGGTAGATTAGACTTTTTGAATTTTAAGAAAATACTTTATTTTGAGCTTCCTTATGGCTTCAAGGTCAGCAACCACTTTTTAATCCTTTAGCTGAAGCTAGTGCCATGAAGAGAGAATCTTTGTTACTTAGCAGTCCATCTGCTAGTGCCATTTGTTCATAATACTTTTTACTGTGTAAACTCTTTATGATCTCCCCAGCAACCAGTTGTGAATCCGCAAATAAGACAGAGTCGCTCTTAGCTTTTGAATGTGCCAGAAACCTAGTGCATCTGTGTTTTGGTGTGTAATGGCTGGGAACGCTTTGTTTTTCAGACTCACGTGCAGTCACAGAGAGTGCTGCTTCTGCAGGGGACAGACAGCCTGAACCGGGCCACGCAGAGCATTGAGCGCTCTCACCGCATCGCTGCCGAGACGGACCAGATCGGCACGGATATAATAGAAGAGCTTGGGGAGCAGCGGGAGCAGCTGGAGCGCACCAAGAGCAGAGTAAGTGAGGAAGCAGCAGGCGCTGTGTGGGAGCAACCTGATACTGGCTTTGTGGGGACTGTGTGCCCGTAATTACTGCTAGAGACCTCCCTGGACATGGGGGTTGCTGTTGTTAGAGTCCAAATCCAGGCTGTCACATTTCTGCACCGGGCTCTTAAAAGGAGAATAAACGCTAAGGAGGTGCCCAAGGCATGATGGCCAAATGTCTCCAACAGTGTCTGTGTGTGGCGGAGTGCTTAGACTTACCTACTGCTGCTGTTTATCTGTAGCTTTCAAGGGGTGGGCATCACAAAACTGGCATCTGAACACCAGCACTGTGAGTTTTCACCACTCTGCCCTAGTAATAGCCCAGCTGCTTCTGTGGTGTATAATCAATATGATATGATAGTTCCCATACCATGGGACATCTCACAGGAGTGAAATCCACAAACCAGACATCCTGTAAAATGTCTAAAAACCTGGGTTTGGTGATGAAAGGAAGAGGAATGCAGGCTTGTAGACTGCTAAGGGAAGGAGATTTTGGCTATCCCAAGGCAGTTTGAATTCTCATAGTAAAAAGTACTGGCCGCTAGGAGAGGACTGCAGAAATGAACTAGCTATTTTGATTATTAACTTAAAGCTCTAATGGCTTAAATTGTTTTAAATTGTGCAAAACTTAGATGTCAGATCCTAAAGTGTTTCTTTTGAGTAAACTATTGTTGTAGAGGTGTGTTGCTCTGAAGTGATTAATTCACAGCTTTTTGTGTTGAATTAGCTCACTGAATGAGAAAAAGGTGTTTTCTAGTGCTTGGATTTCACCCCAAGGAGATCAATTTTCAAAAAAGAACCATGTTCCTGGGTATTCCTGCTCATTATTCATGTTCATGGCCATTATCAGCAACAAAGTTTCGCTTGTTCGGGTTGGGCCCCTGGCTAATGAAGGCAAAAATCCCTTAGAGATTTACACCTGGAAGCATACACCAAAGCTAGAGTAATATTTATGGTGAAGTACGAACAGCAGCAGAGTCCAGCTCACTCTTGCTGGATTTTGTTGGCTTCCTAGAGATACTGAGAGCGCGTTAACAGCAGAAGTGACAGCAGGGGGCTGCTCCATGTTGCTGCCCCTGCTGCTTGGGAGGCTTGGCTGTTACCTGCTTACGGTGTTAAAATCAAATAGCTCAATCATCTTGGCAGTGCTTTGCCTTTTTTTTTTTTTGGTCATTGTTCTAATCAGTGACATAAGATGTTTGCTATTGATCCTTTATCATCTTCTCTGACTCTGCAACTGTTTAAGTAAAAAAGATTTTTACTGCTAGCACAACTCTATAATCTTCTTGGCCACAATTAAAAATTCTATATCAATGCCTTGAGGTCCTGTTCTCAACACAGCTATGAAGATATTCTTGTTAAAAATAAAAGTCCAAATTTAGCTTATTTGTTGTTAGAATGGCTTAAAGTATACAGACTCTTTTGCTTCTGATTCTTTCATAGCAAAGATCCCAAATCCGGCATGCTTTGTGTGGCCTTGCTAGTTTTCTTCCAGACTTGGCCCGGCATCTCTCAATGCCAAATAAGCAAACACCTACAGGGCCAGTTTTGCAGTTGGGGGCAGTCGCCTAAACCAACAGGGCATTTTGGCAGTGCGTGTCTTGTGTGCTGTAATGGTAAATGTCCTGACTTCCCTTGAAGCTTTGGGAGGGGACTGGCCCAGTCTTCCATGGAGAGCTTCAGTGACCACCCCTTGGGAGTCCCCAGGCTGGCTCTGAGATAGATAGCGGCTATTTGAGTTGTCCACAAGCTACCCTAATCACTTCTTTCTGGATAGCTGCCTGACAAGGCATTTCTGAGCGCTACAGAACTGAGATGAGTTAGCTGTTAACAGTTTGCAGATGAAGTCTAATGGCTCACTTAGACTGACCCCTGCAAAATGCTTCTTTGCTAGAAACCAAATATTACTTCAAGAAGTTCTAGAAGTGCCCTAGGGAGGAACATGGGGATATCATTTTTCTTCTGGTACTAGTAATTTGAATAATGAATGAAATAAACATTTAATGAACTAATACCAGCTATCCAGTATTTCTAGGGTAGCTATGGGGAGAGAGAGTGATCCTGAAGTACATGTCCTTTTTTTTATATGTGTGGGATAGTATCTGACATCTTATTCCTTTCTTAATAATGAGACAGCTCTCCAGCTCTGTTGTACCTGGAGAACAATAATGTTGCCTCTGCATTTTGAGACTATATGGTTAGCCTTGAATCTGTTGTTAATTGCAGCATTTCAATACCAATTGCTTGCAGGTGCATCTTTACAGAGTTCCTGTGTATCTATTTACCTGGTAACTTTTCTTTCTTTTTAGTTGGTGAATACAAGCGAGAACTTAAGCAAGAGTCGTAAGATTCTGCGTACTATGTCAAGGAGGTGAGTGGTACGACTGGCTTGTACCAGAGCAGTTACTCTGGGTAGTATAATTGCCTACCAATTTAAGGCAAAAACAGGGAGTACAGAGTCAATTGGAGCTGCAGGAAGGTTTTGTGGTGTGTGTAAACAGGGCAGAGCAAGAGCAGAGGGTAATTCATGTTTTCTCCTCTCTAGTAATTGCTTGCTGAACTGCATGAGTCGCACACTACTCAATTGGTGCTGCTCATTTAGGATAAGATTGTGTACCTGTGTAGCATGACAAATTGTTCGAGGAGGATTTGGACATAAGCAAGTTATAGAGCATTGCTAAAATATGGTCATGTCTCATGAAATGCTTTGTTACGAAGGTCAGAAGTTGTGCCACAAATCACTAGAGCATTAAATCATTCAGCTGCCCAATGACACAGACAAATCTGTTTAGCCTCCAGTAATGCTGTAGGGCAGCTAGAGTGTCATACAAGAGACTCTGAGCTTGATCATAGACTAGTTTGTTGATGAGGTCTTGGCTGCTTGAGTGTCCCTATCTTTACTTAACTGTTATGGTTTGAATACCTTTATAAACCAGTAGATGGAGAAGTGAGTTTCAAGTATGTACTTTTACCTTAGCAACCTTTCCTGTATAGCTTTTGTTAAGAGAAGTTATGATAATGTGTAATTTCCAATATAAAAGATCCATTATTATGATGCATTTATTATTTAGAAGTTGTATAGTTTTACTTCAGCTCTTACAGTCACAAGTAGAAGCACCACAGTGTGGGTTTTGGCACAAGGAGTTCAACTCCCATTTCCCTTTTTGCTTACTTGAATTGTTAGGCACATTATTATTAGAGCAGTTTGATATACCTTCTTGTACTTAGCAGGGGGAAACAGGACTGCTGCCTGTGAAGTAGAATGGTTAAGCAGATTTTCCCGCAAAACAGTAGACAAAACAATGACCCTGCCCCATCCTGCCTGTTAACAGCTATTCCAGAAGTGCCTCCTGATCTTATTGAAGGTAACAGGATGATCTTTTATTTATTTATTTATTTGTCATCTAGAGTAACCACAAATAAATTATTGCTGGCAGTCATCATCATCTTGGAACTAGCCATCCTGGGAGGTGTGGTCTACTACAAATTCTTTCGCAGCAGATGAATTTTCATGGCTGAAACGAATGAAGGGCTTTTTGTGCTGCTGTGCCCCCGTTTCCTGGGGCTGTCCAAGACTGGAACTGTCTCGTGCAACAGTGTGTTCAGATGAAACTGTACTAACTCTAGAGACACTGAGTGGGAGTAAAAGGAAACTGCACAGAGAGACTTGAAATACTGGTAAGAATAATAAGAAGGTAATGAACGTTTTATTATCTCAATTTGTATATACGTAACTAAATGAATAAAACTGGGTACATAATACAGTAGCACCGATCAAGTGGAAAAGCTAGTTTATTTAAAAAGTGAGATGGTACAGTATTCATCAAGTGTTGACAGGCAATCTAGTCACTCAAGTGCCTCAGCCGAGCGCTTTAATGTCCAAGGTACCCATCACTGTGGGCTCTTAATCCTCACTTGCTCTTCTCTGTCAGATTCATCCGGAGAGCTGGGGGTGGGGAGCTCATCGAAAGCAGTGTGGGCCCCCTCCCTGGTCTGCCCAAAGCAGGCCGCTATCACGTCCACCGCAAGCCTAGCCGTGGCGTTCACCTCCTCCGGAGAAGCGCCGAGCAGGGGGTTGACTTCGACCATGTCCACAGCAGAAAGCATTCCTGGGAAAAGAATTTGCACTGTGTTATTACAGAACAGGGAAGAAGCCAGAAACGTCTATTTCACTTTTTGTAGCAAGTCTGATATCTGAACTTGTGACCTGCTTTACCCATTTTTGAAGAGTAAAAACTGCTTTCAAGCAAGGGTTGTCGTTCTTGGACACAATTTTGTGGTTGGCTTTGGTTGGTTCTTTCCTACATTGTCACTGCGTCACTCATCCAGGCTTTTAGTATTCATGGAAACCAAATCTGATGCTCCAACTGCAATTACAAAAGGACCCCCCTCCCCTTTCTATTTTTTTTAAAATCTTATCTTTGTCCAGTCCCCAAATTAGAGCATATAAAATAGTTTTACATACTATTTTTTGCCATTCCACCTTTGAATTTACTGAGGTCTTTTTTCTCCCTCTTCTTCCTATCATAACTTCTATTACAAAGAATTCCTTGTTTAAACATACTAAGTGATGTCTCCATGGCATAAGGAGGAAGCTCCTAAATATTAAGCCACCTGTGGTAGCCTTAGTGAAAGCTCCATTTGCGAGCCTTGTAGCTCTAGACTGGACCTCCAAAATGTTTAACTGTGTCTGCATCCACTGCCCCTCTTTTCATCTGGCCTCATGCATTTAGAAAAAGTTGATGGTACAGCTACTTTAGCATGAATTGTTAATATTGAATGTATGTTAATAATGAAGATAACTTCATTTACCAAGTATTGTCCAGTTGGACATTCTCCCCTCTCCCCCGTTGAAGTTTAAGCTGATTTTTCAGTCACTTAGCTTAGGTGACATTCATATTATTACCTAGTTATGGAGTCCTACCTGTGTTGTGTATTTCCTCAGTGATGTACATGCCTTCTCTGTAAGTCAGACCACCCAGAACAGGAGTCCCGGTTGCTGGAGCCAGTGAGGGATCAAAAGCATCAATGTCAAAACTGAGGTGAATCGTTGAAGTTTAAGCTGATTTTTCAGTCACTTAGCTTAGGTGACATTCATATTATTACCTAGTTATGGAGTCCTACCTGTGTTGTGTATTTCCTCAGTGATGTACATGCCTTCTCTGTAAGTCAGACCACCCAGAACAGGAGTCCCGGTTGCTGGAGCCAGTGAGGGATCAAAAGCATCAATGTCAAAACTGAGGTGAATTGGTCTCTGTCGCCTGGAGAGAAAAAAAGAACAACAACAAAAAAAGCAAACTCAAAACCTTTAACTTTGTCTATATGCCTTTTTCCATCCAGGTTGATCAGCAAAGTAACATCACACTCCAAGCTGCTAAGTGCCCCACCTTTGGAAAAGGATTTTTAAAAAATCCTTGAAGACTGAAATACTTGTTAGCTCAGAACTTTCTTCACTGTGTGCTGAGAAAGAGGAAGTTTGTCTTTCCTATTTCATTGAGCTCAGACCCGACTTGCTGAGGCAGCAGAACTCTAGTTGTGACCCTTCTTCCCGAGACTGGTGTCCCGAGCTGGAGCAAGGTAGAGAGGCTGCACTGTAATCTAGCTGCCTCCCTCCTCTTGCAAGGGAACTCAGGATAAATGACTGAAACATTGATCTGCCTGACACCTGAAAGGGGGAAGCACCAAGCTTGAGAATTTAATAGTTATCAACATGAGTGGGGCATTCTGTGTTTTTTTCCAGGACAGTAGTTGAAGGCTCTCTCCAAGCTCTGCCATATAAATCTAGCTGATAAAATAGGAAGGGATGAGCTCAGACTTAAAAGGTCACTACTTCCTGCATGAAGCCTGGCAACCCAGGAGAGCTTAACAAACAGGACAGTACTTGTCGCCCACACGAGCTACTAACGTGGTAGACTTTGTACTTCCGAATTACTGCAGATGGATGAGCAACTTATTACCTGGCAGAGCTTCAGTTAAGAAAGAGGAGCACAGCTTTAGACCCAACAGTAGCAACAACCAGCATCCTTACAGGACTGTTCTAGCCTGGGGTTAGTTACTCTTACTGGCCCTGCTCCTCTCCCTGGGGCCAAGTCCTTACAGCATGATCTGCTCTCTGACCTGGTTCAGCAAACTTGAGCAAAGCAAAGGCACACACTTGAGCAGAGCATGTGTCACAGGACAGGATATGTGAGCATAGTCTGAGGGAGAATTGCTCCCCAAATGCTCCTACCTCAGGAGCTAGTGAGCTACTGAGAGCCGAATTCAAGCTCCTGACAGTAGCTATAGATCTTTTCAAAGGGATAATTTGTACACCCTGCATTCAGGGTTGAGTCAGCACCTTGTAAAACTGAAGCAAGTTGCATGATGCCTTAGGAAGTAGGACAACTCATCTAAACCACAACTGTACTGACTAATGGAACTTATAGCTCTTTGCCAATCCCTGTGAACTGACTCCATTTCAAGTTGCAGAAATCATGAAAATCAGTGCTGAGGCATGACTGTTTCCTGGGCACATTCACGGTTGTGCAAGGATCACTGGTCAGCTGCTTTCCATCAAAAATGGCCTTCATTTAAACACCTTTCGGAAAAGTAGATACTCATTCTTAAAAAGTAGCAAGAGGTGGAGAGGGGGTTTGGATCCATAAGGAGTAAAGATTTGCTGCAAGGTCACTAATCAGCTTATGCGTTATCTTTATGAAACAGCTTCTTTTCATCCATAGTTAGTTACCTGCCCATGAGTTGCTCAAACGTCCTTTCCATAACTTTTTGAATTCCAAGGCGATCGATTTCCCTCATGGAGAAATATTGGATGTCATAGTTCTTCAAAATATAACTATTAAAGAAAATATGTATTACAAAAATCACTCATTACTGGCCTAAACTTAAATCTAAGAACCTTCAGGCACAGCCAGATGTGGGTAGAAACCTGGGATTTCAGAGTTTGCAAAGATTAGTTTAATGACATATTTAGTAATAATTTAATAACATAATTAACAAAACTGTGTTTAGTACTTCCCTCAAAACTTTGTGCTTATTTGTAATAACCTTTCTCTAACCTAGAGAGAAGAGAGAGTCCCTCACTTGAGGGTTTGGTTTCCATACATGCCAATGACATACCATTTTTTTCTGAGTTAAAGGAGGAAGTTTTTAATTCTACCACATTTTCCGGTTTGGGAGAGGGGAGTGGGCCTAGAAAGCAGAAATGCACAAATGCTGGGTAGTTAGCTTCAGAGCAGATGTTATTAAGTAGTACGAAACTAGATACCCAGACCTAGATCGCTTACACAGATTTACTGGTGATGCTCAGTAACTTATCCAGTGCCTATGCAGAAAGCTAAAGACCAACCAGTCTCTAGAGCAATTTTCAAGGCATCTATGTCTTTGTAGAATCACTAAAGTCAATAATAAATCACTAAATGAATCACTAAAAGGTCATGCAGAGGGCACACCAAAGCAGAGGTGGATCAGTTTAAAGTAGGAGAAGCAAAAAGCATGACAAGAAGTTGGACCTCTAGACCAGGTTTCATGACAAAGAAGGTTTAGCTGTAGCAATTTAGACAACATTAGTAGGACAGCAAAAGAAAGATGCTGAGTTGCAGTAAGTTCAACTTTGGTAGTAACATAGCTAAACTATGCAATTTTGGCCAAATCCTTCAGTAAGTTGCTCAAGAGAAAGACCTTCGAATGGGACTGAGGATTATCACTTTGAGTGGCTGTATAAAACAACTTGCTGAAGAGGGAAAGATCTGCTTTGCATGTGGTGATGTAGGGTTCTGTTCTTTTAGGTAATAGTAGTTTTATCTAACCCACAATTTCTTCAATTTTTTTTTGTCTTTTTGCACCACTAGAGTCCCCTCAGCAGAGAAGTGGGTTCTGTGGCCCAGTATGATCCACCCACTTTAACTCACAGGGAAGCAGCTAGAGATGCCAAAGCTTTTGCTATCATCCTGCTGGATCCTGGGGATGCTTTAGGAAGTCCCACTCATTTTGCATTACTTGGGAAATGCTATGTTGTCAGAGACCATGCAAGGATTTATGAAAGCAGAGCTATTTAAAAGCACCAAAAAAGCAACCAGGAATTCATTCTATGGATTTCCAGGCGACCTGGAGGAAATTTATCCAGTGATATCAATCTTGCTATAACAGGTATTAGTGCAGTAGTATCCTCAATTGCCATGAGGACTTTGGACACTGATGGAGCTTGCTCAGAAGGGGTACTGCCCTCAGCAGGATACCCCTCCTCCCCCCTCTCCCACACGATTTATCCAACAGTACAGAACTCCAAAGGGAATGATAAAGGCCTTAGGCCTACCTATTATGTAACACCGTGACAGTAGCAGAACCTGGCTACGCGTAGTCCGCGTGCCGTGGTATGCAGTTCCCATAGAGAATTTGACTCTTCCAGAGGCAGAGTCTTATCTGTTCAGAAGCACTCTGTAAGCAGGGACAGCCGTTCTGATTTGTAATATTTGACAGAAAGACCAACACTAGAGCAGTCGGTGAGGTGAGGCGACACGAGATCAGTCCCTATCGTGCTCCAAGGTTGCCAGAAGCCCTAGTGCCAAGCTCAGCAGAAGGGTGTGCAGGCGCCGGCGGGTGCCGCTCGGCGCGGGGGAGGCTCCCTCAGCAGGGCTGCTGCCATTGCGCGGTCCCCTGCCCACTGCAGGAGCGGCACCGCGGGCAGCCTTCTGCTCACCCGCTGCTTCCTGTGCAGCACAGGAGGATGCCAGCAAGAAAGGCTTTTTCTTGTTTCTATAGGTACTCACACACACAAATATTATGGATTATTACATGTACTTCAATTAGAAGAGGAAGTCTCCCTTTGCAGCAGGATAAGAAAGCACCTCACGCCAGAAAGGCAGTAGTGTCCTGAGGATGTCAGCGCAGGCTAACTGTACAGCAAGCCACTTACTTTATCCTGGAGTTCTCTCAAGAGAAATGAGACTGGTTGCCCATGGAGGTTTCCAGACTGACTTGTGAGAGGGGTGTTGATGTCGGCGTGCGCATCCACCCAGATCACGCCAAGGTGCGGGCACTGCCGCGCATGGCCGCTGATGGACCCAACTGCCAAGCTGCAAGTACAGTAGGAAAGTCTTCAGTTCATGTGCAAAATATTTTGTGTTCAGAACAAATATGGGGAGCAAAGGGAGTCCCTGCAGCTACACTTACCAGCACTGTTGTATTTAAAATGTATTGGACATCGGTGACAATGATCATAGAAGGCACCTCGGACACTGCATGGCAAGCACCTCTGCCACCCTGTTTCCAGGCCACCACAAGTAACTCTAGAGGACTATATTAGTCCTGGGAGATGGGACTAATGCAGTGTCTCTCTGCAGTTACCCTTTCATTTTCATCTTTTCTAAGTGATCTCTCAGAAAAAATCTAATATGCTCACTCATTAATGGCATTATTCACCTGCTTTTGACTCCACTCATGCAACAAGATAGTCTTCCATGCGCCACCTTCTTTGTCCTGTTCTCAGCCCAAAGGTTAGTGAGAAAGAAGTAAAGCAGAACCATGCATGGTAGGGTCTCCTAAAAACAGCCTGTGGGCAGGCATTACAAACCTATCCTAGAAGTTGTCAGCATGAGAGTTAAGTTGCAAAAAGAGCCAAATCACTAAACATTTAGCAGTAAAGAAACTGCAACAGCAGTTCCTAAGGGATCTGATCACACGAACTTCCCTAAAGAAGTTCACTTACTTCTATGTCTGCAGGTAACAGGAGCCTGGAATTTGGTAGTGCTATCTCTGAATGTCAGGGTTTTATAGTCACCTTCTATAGTTCATCCTCCAGTCCCAGCAATAAAAACAAAAAGCACAGGAATGTAGTACCACGGGAACAACCCAAAGCTGCTCTCACTGCCCTCCTGATTTGATTTAGCCAAGCGATGCCCCCTTTGCAGTGTGCAGCAGA